CACCGGCGAATGGATGATGCCTGGGGAGAAAATAGTGACCGCACCGTGAAAATTGGCACAACTCTGGGTTTGCTGCCTTACACAATGCAGACTCAAGAGGTTGTTATCCTGGATTTGTTCCCCTTGAGACAACAGGACTTCTCTGGAGCGAGACTAGAAAGTCCGGGCTTTTTGGAGACATCCAGCCTTTGCCTGTGCCTGAACTGGGCTGTAAGGAATATTCACAAATATTCAAATCATCAGTGAAAAAGGTGTACCCTAATGGTCGGGAAGCCACAAGGAGGAAAAATTTCACGCACTGAGATTCCTTGCTGTAAAGATGACTTTTTGCCCACATTTTGCCCATGGTTTGGGGGTATAGCTATCTCAATGGGGCAATAGGACTTGAAGGCATGCGTAGACAAGACAGGAGTCCCTCCCAATGAACCTTTCAATCCTTAAATTTCTAGCATTTGTAGCAAGTGAAAAGTTCACTTGAACTTTTAGGCAGCGTCTCTTCAGAGGAGGTTTGGCATTGCCTTCCCCTGAGGCTGAGAGAGTGTTACTTGCCCAAGGTCACCCAGTGGGTTTCATGGCTGAGCTGGGAATCGAACTCATTCTACACTGCAAATAAATGCAGCTTGGCACCATTTTAACTGCTATGGCTCAATACGATGGGATTTTGGGATTTGTAGTTTGGTGAGATATTTAACCTTCCCTGTTAGAGAGCTTCATTGCCACAACAAACTACCAATCCCAGGATTCCTTCGGGCAGAGCCATGACAGTTAAAGCGGTGTCAAACTGCATTAATTCTGCAGAGTGGCAGGAGCCTTAGAAACAGAATGCAAACAATTTTCACTCTCTCACTCTTTGCAATGCTATAAATTTTGAGACTGAAGGAAAATTTGGTGAGAGGCAGAGTCCATAGCGGAGGGACAATGCCCACATTTTGGGCCCTCACCTATGATATCTCTGCATAACAATCAGGGTTAAGAATTAGACTTTTGTGCAGGAAAAAAGGTGATTTTTGTATGTCTGTGTGTGCAGAAAAACATACTCCCCGTGCAGATAATCCTATTTTTCTGTGCAACCCTCCTTTTTGGTGCAAGGTAAATCTGGGCTGGCAAATGCTCCTTTAAAAGTGCGGATTTTTCAAAGAATCTTTCACAGGGAGGACAGAATGGCTTCAATTTTTTGTTCTTCTTGACAAGAATTAATAATGAGAAAGCTTGACATCTCTGCTCACCGTTCTTTGCCACTGGGGCTTCTGTGTAAAAAGGATGCTGGACCTGCGCTCTTGTAACTGCAGGGGAATTATAGCATCACAAAGTTGGAAAGGGCTGTAAGGGAGATCTAGCCCAACCCCCTGCCATGCAGGAACTCCCAATCAAAGCATCCCTGACAGATGGCCATCCAAGAAAGGAGACTCCACTACTCTCTGAGGGAGTGTGTTCCACTGTCGAACCGCCCTAACTGTCAGGAAGTTCCTCCTAATGTTGAGGTGGAATCTCTTTTCTTGCAGCTTGCATCCATTGTTTCGGGTCCTAGTTTTTGGAGCAGCAGAAAACAAGCTTCCTCCCTCCTCGATATGACATCCCTTCAAATATTTAAACAGGGCTATCATATCACCTCTCAGCCTTCTCTTCTCCAGGCCAAACATCCTCAGCTCCCAAAGTCGTTCCTCATAGGGCTTCATGGTTTCCAAACCTTTTACCATTTTGGTCTCTGTCTTCTAGACACACTCCTGCTTCTCAATATATCCTTTTTGAATTGTGGTGCCCAGAACTGGACACAGCATTATTCCAGGTGAGGCCTGACCAAAGCAGAATACAGTGGCACTGTCTTTTCCCCTTGTTCCTGTTGATGCAGCCCAAAATTCATGTAAATGACCCAAGCTAATAGTATGGTGGGTTCGATTCCCAGCTTGGCCATGAAACCCACTGGACTTGGGCAAGTCACACTCTCTCAGCTTCAGGGGAAGGAAATGGCAAACGTCCTCTGAACAAATTTTGCCAACAAACCCCCACGATAGGTTCACCTTAGGATTGCCATAAGTAATGACTTGGAGGCGCAAATGACAACAAATAGTATGGTGTCATCTGCATATCTTAAATTGTTGATGTTCCTTTCTCCAATTTTCACACTCTATCTCTAGGTTCTCCAGCGCAACTCTTCCAGAAATTGATCATACAGTTGTTCTGGAGAATCTAGAGATTCCTAGAGAAAACACTTCTCTGTATTTGTATGTCCTTCAGCACAATTCCGTGATCAACTTCTGGCGGATGTTGACCATAGAGTTGCGCTGGAGGACCTGGAGTTTCCTGGAGAGGTGTTCTCTTAGCTAAAAAGAATAGTGTTGTTTCTTTTTATTTGTGGTTTTCCCACATTCATGGGGGTCCTTCACCCCTAACCCCAGCAAATTTGGAGGGACCACTGTACTTTTGACCGTGCAAATGCACTCGTGACAGCCCCTGGAAGTTGGCAGCGACAACGATTGCCGTCAGTTTTCTGCCTCCAATGCAAATTCCCTGCAAAGCAGAGAGCAGGTTTGGGGTTGAAGATTGCTTTTTTT